CGTAGAGTCTACATCACCTGAGGATGCCTCGTGTAGAGGCGAAACACGTGTCATATTATCGTCGATGGTGTGTCTTTCCTGGAATAGTGGTGTTGAAAGTAGTAGTGCCGGAAGTAGTGGTGTTGGGAGTAGTGGTGCTGGGACTAGTGGTGACGGAATTAGTGCACGCAATTGAGGGAGGGCGGGAGGTGCTCTTCAATCCATGTATGACACATCATTGTATTTAGTTAGCGGAAGGTTGGAAATTAATCAATATCTTTATTATGTTTATTTTTATTTTTGTTAAGCTGTTTCTAATATATACAAATTAATATTTGTTTATTCGTATTTTATGGGCCGCCATACCGTTCATCAGATTGCAATAAAACAATTAACGTAAGTTCACATGTTGCTTGCACCTCCGTGAAGGTTATAGGCATAGTTTAACCCGGTAGGTGGCGCTGCTGTACAATACAGATATCACTTGTGCGAAGCAGGGCGGATCGCTGCTAGTTCTTAGTAAATAATAAATAGAAATTTAGTCTGCATTCTGTAATTAGCATACTTATATGATATGATATGATAGATGACTTTATAAAGTTTCTAAAGGTAAATACACACTGTAGCATTGGCTTAATGCAGACGTTAAACTATATAAAATGAAAACTATTGTTGGAAACTGATATGTCATTTTAAATAAGCTGATTTTAATTTAGTAATTGAACATTTTAAGTACAAATCATTATATTAAAGTACAACATTTTAATTGATCTAATCTTGAACTATGATTTTTTTCGTAATATGAGCACTTCTCAAAAAGAAGTAGAACTAATTGAATAAACATTACTTAATCAATAATACAATAAGAAACAAAATTAATTTTACGGATTTTATCTATTTACGGAAATTGGACAGAAGACACGTTTTAAAAGTTAAAGGTAACCTTCATTAAATATAACAATAAGCACGTCAATCTACCCGAAACGTGTGATATTAAAACAGTTTTTCAAAAAAGATTTCTTTTATAAAATACACCATAAAATATTTTTATTAGTCTAATTTAAAAGTATAGTTAATATATTGGTGGTAATCACATTAATGGGTGTATTATCTAAAATGTCATGATGATATGGGACCACTCCACGCAGCGTTTCGTCATAAATATACGCCTCGCCGAGATGACGGTACAAGATCATTACTATATCTTTTATCCTGATTGCCGCTGTACTAGAAATAATGCGTGGCTCATTTTTCCCCGTTTTCCCCTGTGACTTTCATGACTGAGCGCCGGACACTCGCAATTTTACCTCCTATACTTTTATGATTATAAGGTGTAATACACAAAGTTTATTTAATAATAATAATATGTAATATTAATAAATAATAATAATGTGTACTTTATTTGCTCTCACAAACTTACATTACCTTATAATAATACCATTGAAAGTATAACCATTTTAATTTGTGAGAACCTGGTGTTAGTACTAGGAAAGACCCGTATGGCTAATCACCAGACTCTCGTACCTTAATTTAACATTCATCTACATACCTTGAACTTTAGTACACTTCGTGCGACAATATGATTTATAGTTATTGCTTTTGTATTTAAGGTTACAATAAAAACAAAAAAAAAATTTATACGCAAGCGCAGTCTTCGCAAATCTACAGTAGCTTAAGTTACGTAGTACTATTATTTATTCTGTGCTGAAGTTGCTACTCAGTCCATTTACTTCTGCAGCCAACTTCATACAAAGAAGGCTAGAGATACGTTGTCGCCTCTAACAACTAAGATGCCTCTTGTTTGGTGTGAAGTATTTTTTTTTGTGTGGCTCCCCAAAAGGTGCCTTTGTGATCAGTCCTCACGGGTGACAACGCATTGGCATTTTGATTCGTAATCGAGGATAGATGTATATGTCTATGGGCCACAGCAACCACTTACCATCAGGTGGACTGTGTGCTAGTTTATCACCCTTCTCCTACCAAGTAGATTTTCTAATCATAATATATATATATATATATATATATATATTATATATGTGTGTGTGTGTGTGTGTGTGTGTGTGTGTGTGTGTGTGTGTGTGTGTGTGTGCGTGTGTAATTTTTTTGGTGACGGTGTCCAAACAGTTTGCGAAACTTGCATATAGTGTTTAATGAAAATTTTTATTAAATACTATCTAGGCTATCTAGATCTAACTGGATTATTTGTAGAATGTTTATTAATAAATATTGGAGTATCATCTGCATGTGCAACAAAAAAGTTAAAAACATACAGTATACACATCGCTGGGCACAGGCCTCCTCTCATTGCTAAGAAAGTTTTAGGAAAGGAAGTGCCGCCGCGCTGCCCCAATGCGTGTGGGTGAACTTCACATGTCTTCGAAATAGTTTTGTTCTTATTCCTTAGATATGCAGGTTTCCTCATGATGTTTTATTTCACCGCAGAGCACGTAGTAAATCATCGCTTAAAAATGCAATTACCTTAAAATTACATCGAACCCGGGTTGCTCGTGTAGGTACTGTTGAATTTAAAACGAGCGCTTAGCCCTTAAGTTACCACGGTTCTATGTGTGGGACATTGAGACAAGCTCTGTACCTAATTGTTCTCTGTATATTATGTCTAGCTTGTTCTCGGATCCGTTGAAATTAGTCTAAAATAAATAAATATACTTATTATTAATTTACGAACGTTACGATTTATTTTCTCTGTTAATTTTCATTATAGCAGAATATGAACAACTCGTCCTTCTCATTGACTGAATATTTAAAGACCTTAATAAAGTTTAAAAGTTTTAAAACTAAATCAGTGGCATAACTATGCAGTTAGAGGCCCGTGGCAAATTATGGTGCCATCTCACACTCATTATAAAGATACTCAAACAACGTTAAAGTTTTTATTTTATTTTACAATAAATCACTGCGTAAAATAGGTACATGGGTCAATCAACTTTTTTTGTACATGTGATTCAAAAACTAAAAATAATTAAGAATTCTAATTTCACTGTGATTTTTGCATAGGGTAGTAACTAATACAACCTGTAGCACGACCAACAACGTATGAAACGTAATGTTTTAGCATAAAATAGGGTGATATCTCATCTTACATCCCCTGGGTAACCAATGATTAGATGATAATTATGTTAATGAAAATGCAATTTTTAAATTTATTTTTAATGTAATCAATACAATGTAGCAGTAGCAACTTTACGCAAATATAAATTCGGGTAAAGCTATAATACTTTTTATAAAAAAGTCATGAACATGGTCTCTTGGGTAACCAATACTTAATAATATATATATATAAAATAAATATAACAATAATTTTTTTACTTTTGAGTATTTTGTACTCGAGTGTTTTTATGTAGATAATTTTATGTTAAACTTAATATAATCAAATTAATTTAGCTAACCGTAAAGAAAAACTTATAATTAAGCATGTCCAAGAGGAAATAACACAGAAAAACCACTTTTAAAATTAGGGACATTTGGTGACCCAAGAGACAGTGACTCAAGAGATCTTATTACTATTGTCCAAGGCTTTCAAATTCCACAGTAAAGACTTTTTGATCATACTTGAAGTTTTTTTATACTAACTATACCTATTATACCTATATTATTTATGTATTTAATTAACAAAAGTTAAACTTACAAAATGCGATAGTTCAGTCTTTAGGTCAAATAGTCTTTTCAAAACTTACTTTAATAGATATAGAGGTATTAATGATCACAGAAGAACAATAATCTAAAATTGCTACAAACACCTTAATAATCAGCTACCAAAACACTTATTAATTAGTACTTGCATGGGTAACAAAACAAATCACTTTTCAAAAAATCAACAATATCCTTAAATTTATAGTATGTTTGACCACGCTTGGTCTCAATCTCAGGCTTAGGTAGACTAGATATTATGTCGAGATGATCTGTATAAGATATATCGCTTTTATCTAAACGAAATATTTTGCCATTTTTGACACACCGGAAAAATATAACCCTTATCTCGCCATCATTTTCCAAATCATCAACTATGCAGACATATCTGTATGTTTTTCCTTTGAGATTGCGCACATTCACCAGCAAATAATCTCCTGCGGAATATGCTATTTTGTTCCCAGAGGAACCTGCTTGTTCATTATCAGAATCTCCTGCGGAATATGCTATTTGGTTCCCAGAGGAACCTGCTTGTTCATTATCAGAATCTCCTGCGGAATAGTATTTGGTTCCCAGAGGAACCTGCTTGTTCATTATCAGAATCTTTTGGCGAGTAAATTAAATCGGTAAACTGTTTGTTTGCGAGGCTGAAATAAATCGGGGACATTGATTTCATTCTCATGTTGTAGTCTGCTCAAAGGTATATTATCAGAACCGGAGTCTGACATATCAGTATCAATCTCATCCACATTCATATCTAGAATATTATGAAGAGAGTCTTTTAGAGGTCGATAGATTTTAGGCTGCAAGCATCCACAAAAACCTCTGTTGCAAAAACATCCTAAGGTCCTATATTTCTACTCGCCACAAATGTCCGTGAAGATTTGATGCACCTGTAATGTACCTTGAAGAGGTTTGATGTTTTTAGGTAGTTGTTCTCCAGTAGCTTCTATAGTTTCCTGAGTAACCATGTAAAGTTGAATCTTACTTTCACCTTTCAAAACCTCAAAAAACTTTTCTGCTTTTGGAACATCTGTTCCGGCTGCCACAATTTCATCTGCTTTTCTTTTAAGAAAACCTCCGATTACATCGGCAGGGCCTTTGCCGTGACCGGCGTCAAAGAAATTCAAGGTGACTGCAGTAAATTCGTAATCAAATGTTTTTGTGCAGCATAAATAAAAATTTTGCTTCTATCGATATTGGCTAAACAGACCATCGGAAAAGAAGTGGACTGTCTTTATTTCTGAGTATTGTTCTCGGATATTTTTTAAAATCGGGTCTAGGTGTGTCCAGATTGCTGCTGGTTGGTGATTAGTGCATGAAGATATTGTACAGTAAGAGTCTATTTTAGGTTTGTTACCCTCACCCTTCACCTATGTTACATTTGTATGAAGTGACACTTCTTCTCTTGATCCTCCAAATTGATGTGCTTGTATTTCTGCATGATATTTTCCTTTATAGTTTTCGCTAAAATTTGCTACAATCACCACCTCAGTTTCTTTTATATTATCAATAACTTCACGGAAATATTTGTACTGTGTTTTAATATTAAAAAAATGTTTTTTCAGTGCTTTAATTTGTTTGTTAAATTCTTTCATTAAATTCTTGACTGTTCCTTTTTGAGTTTCTTTTACATTTTTAATTATTTTCTTTGTCTTTTCCTCTTTTTTATACGTTACTTCTTTTCTAATCCATTCATTCCATGAAATCGTTTCTTTGACTCTACTTGTATCATATGTAATTTCGCTGTTGCAACATTCTTGGCAAGTACCGTACAAACAGGATTGACGTTTAGGATCACACATTGTAGACATGAACAGAGTGTTTAAATTATCTGTATCTATTATTCGCTGTTTCTTTAATTCCTGTGCTTTATACACTGGATTAGTATGGGTTTTACATAGGCACATTTCGCGACCGTCAATGGAAGGCTTGACTACGTAGAAAGGTTTGTTTCTTGTAAAATAATAATATGAAAACTTAGTTTCAGGGTTTCCTTGCTTGAATGTGTGATAAAGATTCTTCATTGTATCTAATAAAAATCTCTTTTGAACTTTAGTTTTGTTCTTTGTTACTGTTTCTTTTCGCCCTGCCGTTGGTCTAGATATATCGTCCCTATTGTAAAAGTCTTCAATTTCTTTTTTCAGTTCAACAACTTGTTTCAAATTCCCTGTTAAACCTAAAGCATCTTTTGCAATATTTTTTTTCAAAGATTGATCAATTTGATCAAAAAAAGTTTTAATAGTATTTTTGTCTCTTCGATTTTTAAGTTTGATATATTTATCTTTTATTGCATTACTTAGAGTCTCATATTTCTCCTTCTCAGTAGTTTTCTTTTCCTTCTTTTCGAGTTTTTTCATTGTTCTCTGTAATTTTTTTTGTACTTTTCATATTTTTGCTTGAGTTTTTCGTTTTCTTTTTTTTAATATAATGATTTCTCGAAAAATTTTAGATCTGTCCCTTTTTTCTATTTTTCTTCCTCTTTTTGACGCCTCGCTAACTGTAGGGGAAGCGCACAAATTTTGTTCTCGATCAATATCATCATTTTTATTCTGTACAACATCATCTTGCAAATTATCCTCTTGTAATCGTGAAGAGCTAGGTGGCGTTACTTCAAAAACTCTATTAAGATTTCGCGCTCGTTCTCTTTGATTCTTTTTCCATAATCTCCAAATCACTCTCGCGTTATATCTCTCTTTAGGGTTTAAATCTTTAATCAGTCTTTTTTTGGCGTGATAGTTTTCTCTCTTCTTTTTTTCGTACGCATTATATTTCTCTGGATCTTGTTTTAATTTTTCTTTATGACGTCTTTGTTTTTCTGCGTTTGTAAGAGGCATTTTTCATATCTAAAACAAAATAAGCTATGTAAGCACAAAGACCCATTACTGAACACAGCAAAAACAAAACCTTGTTCCGTTTATCACTCCTTTATAACAATTTGTAACATGTAGTGAGTATTTCAACCATTTAATTTACATGCAACACAGTTATGTCTCTTGAGTAACCAAAAATGTCTCTTGTGTAACCACCAGAGTGACCCAAGTGACGGGTTAGTCAGGTGACATTTTACATCAAAAGCTATTTTTACTATGAAAAAAAATGGAATAAAAATAAAATACCACTCTCCGTTGACTTATTAGATATTAATGAATATAAATAGAGAATAAAATCCATTCAAAAGATTAAAACTACTTTTACGGATTTTACGGACCCACAGCACCTGGGTGCTGGAAAGCGCCCGAAACGTCGGGAATTAAAAATAAAAAGTAAAAATAAACGCGATAAAATCCGTAAAAGTAGTTTTAATCATGTGCAATGTTCGCGTAAATATAAGAAATCATTATCCATTCAAAAGTAAAAACTTACGATGTTTGGCGTGGTTTTCCAGCAGAACAACAATAAAGCCACGTTGCTACTTCTCTGGCCGCAGTCGAAATGGCGGAGCGAATCAAAATTCTATGTGACTCCAACTTCGATCGCGTGATACTTATCCTTGTTTCTGATTGGTCTAACGCACTAATTGCGATATCTCAATTGCACTCATTTAAAAATGTCGCGTTACCTAGTGGAAGGTGAATGTACTCAGTTCGGCGGGGACACGTTCGCGCGGGAAGACTTTTTTAAATTATGTCAAATATAACAAGGCTGTATCTGTGTAAATTTCAGAATATGTGCTCATTTATATTTGGTACTATATCTTATATAAAATGATAGACTGCAGTGAACATTTTTTAAACTATGATTTGTATGGGAACGTGTGATTACTTCCGCTGGGTAATCAGTAATTTTTGTTTTAATGTATACGTAAACTTTATCAATAAATATTTTAGTATTGTGGATTTATCTTGCAGTTATCAAAACAAATTTAAAATTATCCAATTATTTAAAAGTTTTCGAATAAAGAAAGTAAGTTCACTCGGGACAGGTGTTGGACAAAAAAAGTTGATTGACCCACATACAACATTATTACTAGTTGATTGTCTGGAAAATTATAATTTAAAGATGTGCTGGACTAAAATTGCTAAATTCATTTTCGTACAAAATTTTTACCGACTTCAAAAATGGGACCACATGAAAAACACCAGCTTTCAAATAAAAGAATCATTGAAATCAGTCCACCTAGAAAAAAGTTCTGAGGTAACACACGTAAAAATGTTGATCACTTGATCAACGTTTTTAAAGTACATATTTCTGAATTAATGTTAAAAATCTGTACAGGTTTTATAGCTATAACTGCTCTAATACGTGTTTAACATTTATATTTGTCCAGTTTTATTTTTATTTCTTCACAAATATTTAGTAGGTACTTAGAGCGAAAGCGTTTGGCGTGAATTTCGCAGAACGCGAGAAATCTTGGTTCGATCCCCGTCGGAATCAACGAAATTGTTAATTGAAATTTTGATTGCTGATTTACCACGTGCACGGCGATCAAAGAAAACGTCGTGAGAAAATCTACATGTCTGAGAAATTAGAAATAAGAAGGATATTGAGGGCGTGAGGTCCGGCGGACACATCCCTGTTGTAAAACTCGTTTTACAGTGAGACTTTACCAACGTTATAAAATTTCGATGTCGTAAACATACACTGGTGTTTTTAGTTAATATATTATAATAATTTACAAGTTGTGTATGTTATGCATATCGATAGATCTAAGCCAAACAAATGGAACATTAGCGCTGTCATGTTTTTTTTTAAATTTACCTCCACACTAGGATCTTCTCCTGTATCGTATTTTATTTCATAAGGACAAAAATCCAGACCCAGAATAGTTATTTGTGGGCCACATTCAAACACTTGTTCCGTGCGGGATTTGAACCCGCGGCCTCCAACGCTGCATTAAATTAAATCATTAAATTAAATACGTAGTTTTTATTATAACCCAGTACTTGACTATTGCCCCACCTGTTAGTTGGTAGTGTCAATAGTGTTGTTTGGTTGTAGACTAGATAAGAATAGTATACACAATGTATTTTGCAAATAACCCTGTCTAGATCACTATGAATTTTAAGCGTACACTAATAAAACATAATCTATATCATTACCATAAATGCCTATAAAAGTTTTACTGCTGCATATAACCCTTACCCCTGGATTGCCTCAAACGGGAGATTGCGGCATAGTTACCACGCTTCAGCTACAGCTGCAGGTTTTTATAATTTTGGGTTGTCATCAGGAAGATGCTGCTGAACATCTCCTGTTTCAGTCTCAGCATGTACGATATGGGAAAAAGAATAAAAAAGAGTAGGCTCTTTTCTTGAATGAATTATACAAAATATGTACATAATATATTATCTCAATAAAAGTTCAAATTAGAGTCTTTAAAGGTTCCTTTACTGGGCACAGGCTTCATCTCATTTCTGAGAGGGTTTAAGTCCAAGGAAATGTAGTCTGCGCTGCCCCAATGCATGTTGACGTCTTAGAAACACTTTTTTTCTTATTTCTCAGATATGCTGGTTTCCGCACGACGTTTTATTTCACCGCCGGGCACATGCTTAATCAGTACTTTAAAATTGCAATTAACAATTTTATTGGTGCCGGTGGAGATCAAACCCGGGTTGCTGGCATACTGTGGAGCGCGTAGACCCTGAACTATCACGGCTCTATAATTTCTATGTGTATAATTTTAACATTCTGTCGAGTCTTACCTATAAATATAGTTTCTTTTGTTTATTTACAAGTTATTGTAAATAATCACCACTGACCACCACGAACGCAATGTAACATAATGACGAGCTATGATTCGATATTTATCCAGATATCCAAAAAGACAAAGTAATCAGAATTTATCCGATAACAAATGTTCAGACCATTACTCACGAGCGCCATATTAATCAACGAAGTCCAGTGAAACTATTAAATAAGTGCGTGCCTCACGTCAATGTCGAAGTCCTTTTCCAAACATGTTTATGAACTTGGGCTTATTTTTGCAGGTGTAATAAAATTATATTTAATAGTAAAAGTTACCTAAGTGGCAATAACGTTCACTGTTCCATTAAGAAAAGCGATGTGTATACTTACGTTACATGTATCATGCTTTCATTATATGTATCATGGTTTCATTATTTGTATATTGTCTACGGAGTAGTCTTTTTCTTCTTTCTGCCCTTAGTTCAAGTTGTTTGGGGTTGACATAGCATGTCTTCCCTATCCATTCATCATTTGCTCTCAGTCATCTCTCCACTCGCTCCTTTCTTTAGTACATTATACCTAATACAGTTCACTCATCGTTTATGCCTCTCTGTCCATCTACTTCCATAGCTACTTACGAAAAAATAAATTGTGTAGTGAAAATCTTCTTCATCTACACCAGCCTTTAGAAGCCTACTGCTGGATATAATCTTCTTTTGCTGTAGAGCAGATTTGCCATAGGCACGCTTGGTAGACAGATTGACGCAATCAAAAAAAAAAAAAACAAGCGTCTGACATCTTTGACGGCGCTGCTGTCCGGTTTTGTTATACCGCCATCTATCGGAAGTCATAAGATTTTACTGTTATTTATAATTGTCGCATCTCATGACACTCACGTGACAAAATTGAGTAATGGATTCTCTAACGCCGCCACTGCACGGCTAGTTGTGTAAAAATATTTATAAGGTACGTGAGGGTAATATGGTCAACTTAAGTTTTGCCGCCCTATAAAACCTAAACTAGGCGGAGGACAGAGACAAAAACACAAAGTCGTATGCAATAACTAATACATTAAGAAAAAAATAGAAAACAATCTTTGGCAATATTAAGAATACTTCGAAAAATCAACTTAAAAAAACTTACTAACTCATCATACAAAATGGCGTGCATAAGGCAGCGCCCTTTTGACCCTTTACAATTTGATTGACCGATGAAGAGCTATCGCATCATAAAGTCATCTATGCAAACAAGTCTACAGTTTTTGAGTTATAAGAAAGTAACTATATTAAGCGGATGACCATATTACCCTCACGTATTATACAAAAATATTGCCTCACTTCGATGTAGTTATAATATTAAATCGAAAATGAAAAAAAAAATCCTAAACAAAAAGAGCTGGTGACCTTGAAACGGCTGGAAATATTTTCTTGAATCATAAGTAAGAACACTCTCGATCAAGTTATCTTTCAAACAATAAAAACTAAATCTAAATCAATTCATCCGTTTGGAAGCTACGATATCACAGACAGACACACAGATGTATATGTTAAACATATAACATCCCTCTTTTTCGTCGAGAGTTAAATAATATATATACAAATAAAATCCTTACTTTAAAATCGTAAAATACCCGGCAAAAGTCGTAGTCAAAAATTAAAGCATGCCATTATCACTAAATACCAGTCGGATCATCAAACGTCTTCTCAAAAGGAATTATGTCCTTTTCGCGTAACTACCTTTATTTGAGCTCTTGGTTTTAATATCTTTAATTAAGTTAGGGACAGACATTTAAATTTTTTAGCAACAATTCACTGTGCGCAAATGAATGCCAATTATTGGAAATTTATCAATTACTGAAACCTCAGTTTAAAATATAACAAAACAAAATTTATATTCTATGGTAAGACTACCTGTTTTGTTTTAAAAAGTAATCCGTCTCTATTGAATAGTCTTTTTAGCTAGGACATGTTTTATATAATATTCTATATTAATGAACACTATATGAACATTGCAAGGAGATTCATACGATGTATGTATAAATGTTTGAAAAAAAAAAAAATGCGAATGAAATTGTTTATTACTTGAGTGTTTCACATTTTACCTTTATTGTGGGATGTTTATAGGTGAAGCATAATGCTGACAACACATTACGATTATTTGATTACTACATATCGATCCAAATTGAATATTTGACATAATTACTAGAATT